GGGGGGGGGACGCCAGGTGTTCTTTTAGAGTATTCAGGGCAGACTGACGAGGGAACACGAGCCCTGGGGGAGGGGGAGTAGTCAGTGCTTGAGGTCACAGGAAAGGGGCCCTGAACAGTTTATTTCCAGAGTTCCAGAACTCAAACCTGCAGTGATATCAGATAGACTGCTTGTCCCTCAACCCCAGGGCTCCTGTAAACGCTTCTTGTGCTTAGAGGTAGTTGGGATACTTCTCCCATCCTAAGGAGGGACAGAGAGTCTTGTCTCCCCCAGGTGCCCAGAGACAGGTATGTGAGGCAGGTGGCCAGGCTGGGGATGTCCCTTCTGCTCCTTGGCTGGCTGTGCCCATCCTCAGGAAGCCAGAACCCGGATCTGAGAGACCAAGAGCTTAGGACACAAGTGCATGAAGTGGGTTCCTCTTGGTCCATCTTGTACATCTCTCTTCCCCGTCCTCTGATCTCCCCACACAGACCCCCCACGACAGCCTACCCTCACTGCCTTGCTAGAATTGGAGGCTGGGAGGTTGGGCTTCATACTGTGCCAAGTGGACAGTGATCCCCAGGCCCAGTTGAGGCTGCTGAGGGGAAGCCAGCTCCTAGCCTCCTCCCAGGGCAGGGTTGGAGTTGACTCTCCCCGAGTTACTCGGGCCTTCAATGTCCTCCGTGTGGAGATCCCGAATGTGGTACTGGAGGATGAAGGAGAGTACACCTGCGAAGCCAGCAATGTCCTTGGGAATGCCACAGCTTCTGTGGCCTTCAGTGCCGAAAGTGAGTGAGTATGTGTGTGTGTGGGGGGGCGGGGGGTGGGAGGGCATAAGATGATTTAAAAAAATCTGGATTTGTGATTTCATTGTTGTACGGAACTCTGAGTTAGAAAACTGCTCCTACTGACGTAGACACGTGGTCTGCAGTCTGGTCTTGGAGAAGTGCTTGGGACCCGAGAGTTTAAATCACTTGCCCAGAAACAAAGACAAAACTAAACAGTTAGAGAAATATTAATTATTCAAGGAGAGGCTGAGCCAATATAATAAAAATGACAATTCTACCTAAATTAATTTACTTATTCAGCGTCATAGCAATCAAACTACCAAAGAATTGTTTTGTAGAGCTAGAAAAAATAACAACATTTATCTGGAGGAACAAAAGAATATCAAAGGAATCAATGAAAAAATGTGTAGGAAGGCAGTCAGCAGCTGTTGTTAAGTAGTTCCAGACATGTCTGACTCTTTGTGACCCCATTTGGGATTTTCTTGGCAAAGATACTGGAGTGTTTGCCATTTCCTTCTCCAGTTGATTTTACAGATGAGGAAATTGAGGCAAACATGGTTGAGTGGCTTGCCCAGAGTCACAGAGCTAGTCAGGGTCTGAGGCCAGATTTGGACTCTGGAAGAAGAGTCTTCCTAACCCCAGACCCACTGTTCTATTCACTGTGCCACCTAGCTGCACCAGATTACAAAGCAGTAATCATCGAAACAATCTGGTGTTGGCTAAGAAATAGAGCGGTGGATCAGTGGAACAGATTAGGTACACAATACCATGGTAACCATAGTGACCATAGTCATCTAGTGTTTGATGAACCCAAAGATCCAAGCTTTGGGGACAAGAACTCACTATTTGACAAAAATTGCTGGGGAAACTGGAAAGCAGTGTGGCAGAAACCATATACAGACCAACATCTCACACTGTGTACCAAGATAAGGTCAAAATGTGTAAATGATTTAGACATAAAGGGTATTATCATAAGCAGATTAGAAGAGCGTGGAGAGACATACCTGTCAGATCTATGGAAAGAGGAGAGTTTATGAACAAACAAGAGATAGAAAAGATTATGGGAAGTAAAATGGTTAATTTTGATTAGATGAAATTGAGAAAGTTTTGCATAAACAAAACAAATGCAGCCAAAATTAGAAGGAAAGCAGGACATTAGGACAAAAAATTATAGCAAGTTTTTCTGACAAAAGCTTCATTTCTCAAATATATAGGGAACTGAGCCAAATTTATAAAAATAAGAGCCATTGCCAAATTGATAAATGGTCAAAAGATATAAATAGGCAGTTTTCAAAGAAATTAAAACTATCTATAGTCATATGAGAAAATGCTCTAAATCGTTATTGATTAGACATGTGCAAATTAAAACAACTCTGAGGTACCAACTTATACCTATCAGATTGGCTAATATGACAGAAAAGAAAAATGATATGTGGAGAAGATGTGGGAAAATTGGGACACTAATGCACTGTTGGTAGAGTTGTGAACTGATCCGGCCATTCTGGAGGAGAATTTGGAACTGTTCCCAAAGAGCTATAAAACTGGGCATACCCTTTGACCCAACAATACCACTACTAAGTCTGTTTTCCAAAAAAGTCAAAGAAAAAGGAAAAGGATCCATACGTACAAAAATATTTATAGCAGCTCTTTTTGTGGTGGCAAAGAATAGGAAATTGCAGGGATGCCCATCAGTTGGAGAATGGCTGAATAAGTTGTGGTGTATGAATGTGATGGAATACTATTGTGTTAGAAAGAAATGACAAGTGGGACGGTTTCAGAAAAACTTGGGAAGACTTAGACAAAGTGATACAAAGTGAAGTGAGCAGAACCAGGAGAAGATTGTACACAGTAACAGCAATATCGTATGGCCACCAACTGTGAAAGACTTAGCAGCACTGATCTATACGATGATCTACGGCAATTCCAAGGGACCCGTGATGAAAAATGCTGTTTACCTCCAGAGAGAGAACTGGTGAACTCTTGAGTGTGGATTGAAGCAGACTTTTTCACTTTATTTATTTATTTTGCAGTATAGCTAGTGTGAAAATATGTTTTGCATGATTCATGTGTCTAGTTGATATCATATTGCCTTCTCAATGGGAGGGAGAGAATTTGGAACTCATGATTTAGAAAAATGTTAAAAAGAGCTCATTTGTCCAGGGGTGGACACAAAGCCAGTTATGTCAGAGGTGAGGTTTGAATCTATATATTTTTTTTTGATGAGGCCATCAGGGCTAAGTGACTTGCCCAGGGTCACACAGCTAGCAAGCTTCAAGTGTCTGAGGCCAAATTTGAACTTGTGTCCTCCTGACTCCAAGGCCGGAGCTCTATCCACTGCACCGCCTAGCTGCCCCCAATCTAGATCTTCTTGACTTTGAGGTTAGCTCTCTATTCCGCTGTGTCTTTTTTATTCAAGAGGAATAGCTGTTTATAATAAATAGCACATTTTGGCTCCCAGAAAGAGCAGGATGCGTGTGTCTCATCGTCTCTAGTCTGACCCCTGGTTCACCTTCCCTCCCCAACAGCCGTGGTAGTCCAGGTGCTGCCCTCGCCGACCGTTCAGGAGGGCCAGGCCGTGAACTTGACTTGCGTGGTCTTGGCTGCCGACGTCACCCAGCTCAACTACACGTGGTACCGGAACGGGCAGTGGATGGGTGGAGGCCCTGGCTCCTCCTCCATCTTCCTCCCCAGTGTCTCTGCTGCTGATGCCACCTCTTACCGCTGTGCTGTGGACACTCACGAGGGAGGCACGCGCCTCTCCTCCCCTAAGAGCCTCACTGTTCTCTGTGAGTCCCACGGTGGACTGGCTCCAGGGACTTTGAATTACCTTATGGCCTCACTCGGGACAGGGACAGTATCTGAGGATAGGGTTTCAACGATTCTCTTCTTCATTTTAGAAACTGGGGAAAAGATGTGAATATTTCATATGGGAGCAGCAACTGTCCCTTTCTGGGCTACCTTCTCATTTCATCTTTCCATCTCAGAATCTATGCTTCTTTAGTCATCTTGGCAAAGCAGGGAGAGCAACATGGATGATTCCCATTTCACAGGTGGCAAAGGCAAGGCCTGGGGAGGTTGTGTGATTTGGCCAAGGCACACGTCAAATTAAGGGAAGCTGGGGGTCCAGATGGATTCCCAGTCTGGTATGGAAGGGGGCAGAGCTGTAACTAGAGGTCCTGTACCTGGGGCTGGTGTGCAGAGGACAGGTCAACCTCAGGGACAGTCAGACTGGGGAGAAGGGGACAGCCTGCTTCCCAGAGACTCTGGAGGGAGAAAAGGCAGACTTGGAGAGAGGTACCATATGGCAAGACCCTGGGGGTGGCTCAGGGCTAGGGGGCACTAGCTCCATGTGGCAGTGTGGGCTGGTGATCGTAGTGATGAGGTGAAGGGACGATGGTCACTGTGGGGAGGAAGCATACTCCTTTCCCTGTGGTCAGTACTCTGGGACAAAGCTCCTGTTGTCATGGGCTAGTTTGACCCTGAGGAAGGGGAGAAGACAGAGGGAGAGGGGGAAGCTTAGGACGAGACTCTGGGAAGAACATTCATGGGATCATAGCCCTACATCTGAAAGGGACTTCAGAGGTCACCTAATCTAACTCCTCCACTGTACAGAGGGGTAAACTGAGGCTTGGGGAGGTAAGGGATTCAGAGCTAGAAAGGACCTTAGGAGCTGTCCAGTCCAAATTTCTTCATTTTACAGGTAAGGAAACTGAGGCCTGATGAGCCAAAGTCATGTACTAAATTGGGGGTTCCTGACTCCCAACTGAATTCTCTGTCTAGTGCAGCTTGATCCCACTATCCCTCATCCTCCCTGTCAGTCTGTGCCTTCCGCTCTCTTCAACTTTCCCATCTCCTCCTCCAAGAAGGTCTCCCTGGTTAATGTTGGCCCTGCTCTGATTTCCTTCCCTCTAGACCCTCCCCGGGCACTGCGTCTGACATCTCTGCTCGAGAGCCGGGCAGGACAGCCGGCCGTGTTGTTGTGCACTGTGGACAGCCAGCCTCCAGCCACACTGGCTTTGAGCTGGGCTGGTCAACTCCTGGCCTCCTCTTCCCTTGGGCAAGCCAGGCTGGGGGCTTCCTCCACCCCTAATACCCTTCGCCTTGAGCTCCAGGAGCAAAAGGCCCTCCAGAGTGGCCTCTACACCTGTTCTGCTGAGAACTCTCTGGGCCAGGCTAACACTTCCTTGGAGCTGCACCTGGAGGGTGAGCACAGGACAGGAGACAAAACTGCAAAGCATGATGGGAAGAGTGTCCCCATCCACCCACCCCTCTCTCTTGGCCTCTGTCCTCTGTCTCCGTCTCTGTTTCCGTCTCCCCTGCCGAATCCTCCTCCAGATAGGGGGTTGGGTCCTCAAGGGGACTGGTTAGCAGAGATGGAAGGGGGTGGGCTGAGGGCCTGTTCTTTTCCCAAATATCTCTGGCTTCACTCTCCTGACCACCTAGAGGATCAAAGAATTTAAAGCTAGAAGAGACGTTAGAGATTATTGAGATCAACCTCATTTTCATATGAGGTAACTGAGGCCCAGAGTAAGTGAAGTGACCCAGCTAGTAAGTAGCAGGGTTAGATTTAGAACCCAGGTCCTTTGACTTTAGATCAAGAGCTCTTTTCACTGTCATTAGCCCTCTGATTTGGGATGAAATGTTCCCCTTCCCCCGATTAGTGTCCCTCAAATCATACCGTGTGGGCAGATGTCTGTGCTGCTTACGTCTAGGGCTTCCCTGGAATGCCTTATGTGGGGACAGTGGGCTAACCCAGTGAACAAGCATTGGTCAGGTACGTACTTTTACTATGCTAAGCACTGGCCATGCAAAGACAGAATGAAATAATTCCAGGAGAGAAACTATGTACAAATACAGGTATATACAAAATATAAACGGAGGAAATACAAGGTGATTTTTTTTGGAGGAGGAGGAGGAAGGCATTAGTGAATGGGGTGGGGAGGTGGTAAGAAAAGGTTCCCCCCTGAAGCCTGGGAATCTGGGCTCCAGGCACAAAGCTTGTCTCTTCCCTCCCCAGCTAGTCCCACCTTAGCTCTGTCTCCTTGCCCTGCAGTCACCAGAGTGTCCATAGCCCCGTCCAGCGAGGTGCCCGAGGGCACAGCTGTCATCCTGATGTGTGAGGACCCTGCTGCCAACCCCCCCACCGTCTACACCTGGTATCATAATGGTCGCTGGCTCCAGGAGGGGCCCACTCACGTCCTTCAACTCCCTGGCACCAACAGGGCCCACAATGCTGGTGCCTACTCCTGCACTGCCCGCGATGCCCGGGGGATCAGACGTTCCCAGCCTGCCACTCTGCGACACCTATGTAAGGGGGAGGGAGGGAGTCCAGTTAGAGGCAGCATTTTGGCCCAGGTCTTGTGATTCCTCAGTTCAGAGGTCTAAAGCAAAAAGAAGACCTCAGAGGTCATATAGTCCAGCACCCTCAGTTCTGAGGAAACTGAGGCCCAGAGAAAGAAAGTGTAGGAATGGAACCCAGATCCTCTTACTCCAAAGCTATATTTCTTTCTGATGCACCAGGCTACTTTGATGGTAACACCTACACCCACTAGGCTTCCTACGGGCAGTGTCATTTTGGGGATGGTGCTATACCACAAGCCCAGTGCTCCAGCCACCTATCTGCCTCGAAATACTACTCTTATATTTTATGTTGTATCTATTATTAGTGCCAGGCCTGGAGTCAGGAAGATCTGAGCTCAAATCTGGCCTCAGATTCTTACTAGCTGTGTGACCTTGGGCAAGTCACTTAACCTCTGTTTGCCTCAATTGTCTCATCTGTAAAATGGGGATGATAATAGCACCTACTTCCCAGGATTGTGTGAGGATCAAATGAGATAGATATTATGAAGTGCTTAGCACAGTGCCTGGCAGATGGTAAAAGTTAATAAGTGTTATCTATTATTACTTCATTTGATCCCATCAAATGTGAGAGAAGTGCTAAAGGTATTACGATGTCCATTTTATAGATGAGAAAATTGTTTTAGAAAACCTTCATAACTTGCTCAGAATCACTTAGCTAAAAATGACATTAAGTGACACCTGTATTCTGGGAGGTCATAGTTTGAGATAGAAGATAACCTTCTTCCTGAGAAATCTTTTAGTTCAATGAGGGAGAACTAGGTATTACCCTTAGGAAGTTCCTGGTCTGATGGCCTAGTCTGATGGGAGAGGGACCCAATCCCTGGCCTCAGGGAGTCCTCAGTCTGATGGGGGGCACACAGTCCTTACTCTTGAGAGTTCCTGGTCTGATGAAGGAGATAGCCGGTTCCTGCCTTGAGGGAACACCCAAACCGATAAGTAAAACAAGATGAATGAATCAAATTTTAGGTCAATTTAGTTCAATCTGATTTGATCCAATTCCACAAATATTAATTCAAAACAAATCATAAGCTGAAGAATTCTTCCAAAGCCAGGAAGCATGACTGTTCTTCAGCTTGGCATAATACCTCTTTCAGTTTGATTGACCCCAATAACTTGCTACATTGGATCCATAAATACCCCCGTGGAAGAGAATAGAAGCATCATGGGAAGAAGTGGAGGAGGGAGCAGACCTCGGAGGTTTAGGGGTGAGGCAGCCTCGGCTGTAGTCTGGCTTTGCACCCACAAGCTGGTTCCCCTGTTCCCAGATGCCCCTAGGGATGTGTTCGTGACCTCTTTCTTGGATACCCGGGCTGGTCGAGTGACTGTGTTGCAGTGCACTGTGGACAGCGAGCCTCCGGCAGAGCTGACCCTGTCCCGGGATGGCCAGTTGGTGGCTTCTGGCCAGAGTCCCTTGGGGTCACTGGTGGGGAGAAGCCGTGTCCACACCACTCATAATACCCTCCGGCTGGAGCTGTGGGATGTCCGCAAGGAGGATGAGGGAGACTACCTCTGCTCTGCCCAGAATACTTTTGGCTCCATCACTACCACTGGACAGTTGTGGGGAGAAGGTAAGGGGAAGGGCTTGGGTATAGGTCTAGGGAATGGGGGTGGAGGTCCAGGGAATGAGGACTGAAGGCTCAGTCCTTCTTGCTAGTTCTGGGCATCCCAAGTGGACTGGGTCAAGGTGAGACAGGGAGAGGTGGAGTCACAGCATTCCTGATATCCTCAGTCTGATGGGGTGACAAAGTATCTGAAGTAGCTGTCTTATAGCCTGTTCTATGGGGGAGGGGTGGGACAGAGAGAGAGAGAGAAGAGAAGAAGAAGAGAGGAGTGAGAGAAGGAGAAGAAGAGAGGAGAGAGAGAGAGAGAGAGAGAGAGAGAGAGAGA